CCCCAAAACCCCAAAACCCCAAAACCCCAAAACCCCACAAAAGTACTTAATTGTAGAATTTTGCCATTGGTTAATAATGATTAATATATCAAAGTATTTATCTGACCTAATCACAGACTCTGTCCAAGCTGAGTTCGAAGAATTCAAGGAGAAGTTTGTGATTAACTCAGAGAAAGATAAGCCATGGCAGTACTCAACACCTACTGCTATTAAGCTATGGAATATGAATAAAAATATGACGTCTTCTTACCCCTTTATTAAGAGTTGTAAGGAGCTTGCAGAGAGGATTTCTGAGTTAATCCCAACCACAGGTATGATAGAATCTGTGGCGATTTCTAAGGCTGGGAAGGGTCCTGATGAGAAGTCAGGGTACTTTATTAATATTTATCTAAGTACTAGTGCAATGGCACAGAAATTACAAGAGCTTGTGACTACTGACATCACTTACCAGACAGAGAAGAAGTTAAAAGTTGTGGTTGATTTTTCATCACCTAACATTGCCAAGAATCTTCATGTCGGCCATCTAAGGACAACCATTCTGGGTGACTCAATGGCCAGGCTTCTTGAGTTCATGGGTCATGACGTCAAAAGGGTCAATCACATTGGTGACTGGGGCACTCAGTTCGGCATGCTCATTGCTCACATGCAAGATAAGTACCCAGATTTCCTTGATCAGCAACCTGAAATATCAGATCTTGATGGGTTTTATAAGGAAGCCAAGAAAAGGTTTGATAAAGAAGAAGACTTTAAAACCAGGTCAAGGGAAACTGTTGTCAAGCTCCAAGGAGGCGACCAGGAGATACTAGAAGGATGGAAAATGATTGTGAATGTCTCCAGAGTACAATTCGATAAAATCTACAAGAGGCTTGACATAGTGAACAACGAGTATGGAGAATCCTTCTATAACGATATGATCCCTCCTCTTGTTCAAAAGCTAGAAGAGGATGGCATCGTTGTTGAGGATGATGGCTGTAAGTGCATCTTTATACCTAAGATCAAAGTTCCTTTGATCGTTGTGAAATCAGATGGAGGCTACAATTACGATACAACAGACCTTGCTGCAATGAAGTATAGGATCGAAGTAGAGAAAGCAGAAAGGATAATCGTCCTCACTGACATGGGTCAAAATTTTCACTTCAAACAAGTGGAAGGAGCTTGCATAAAAGCAGGGATCCTAGATCCAAAGACTACCAAATTTGATCATATGTGCTTTGGACTCATCCTTGATGAGAACGGTGAAAGATTCAGGTCCAGCTCAGGTGAATCTGTGCAACTCGTGAGCCTTCTGGATGAAGCTAAGGAAAGGGCAACAGAGCTCTGAAAAATGAAGCATGAGAATGCTAGTGAAGAAATAAAATTGACTGAGGAAGAGTACCAAGAGAGGGGAGAAATAATCGGCCTTGCTTCTCTCAAGTATTATGATTTAAAGCAGAACAGAAGCTCCTCTTATGTCTTCTCATATGATAGAATCCTTGATTCTAAAGGAGATACTGGAGTTTACTTACTTTATATGTACGTCAGGCTTTGCTCCATTTTAAGGAAAGGAGGATATGATGAGGAAAGACTAGCTGAAGTAGCAAAAGAAACTGAATTAATCCTTGAAACTCCTGAAGAAATCAAGCTAGGATTACTCTTGCTTAGGCTCCCAGAGTATTTAGATGGGGTAATGAATGACCTCCAACTCAATATGTTATGCAGTATCCTATACGAAGTAAGCACGCAGGTCGGCTCTTTCTACGCTAACAATAAGGTCCTTGGGGATCCGAAAGAGGCTTCCAGGATCCTTCTCATCGAAATCACCAGGAAAGTGATGAAGACCTTATTTGAGCTTCTAGGTATGAAAACTCTTGAACAGATTTAGCCAATGATACAAATATTATACAATCTTAAAGTTTCAATAAATGTTGGAGTGATTGGGGTTTTGGGGTTTTGGGGTTTTGGGGTTTTGGGG